ATTTTATCATTAGGCTTTCGATTTATGCCCGGTCAAAGTGATTTTCTATTAAAAAATCTGAGATTACCTGAGACCTTAGATGGATTAAAAGGGTTAAGAGATCAGCTAGGTCTAACGTTAGCAAAAGATAGTCTTACCAATCGTGGTACCCTCAAGTTTGAGGGTTTCTCATCAATACATGCAAAAGGCTCTTTGCTCATGAATCGTGTTTTGCTTGAAGCTATAACTTATAATTCAGGATTTTATGGTCGTTTCTTGGTATTGGCACAAATTGGCGTAGGTTGTACAGTATGGTATGGTTTTGTTCCCGGAGATGGTAACATTCCTCCTTTATTAGATGATTCTGTAATATCCTTGTTCTCACCAATAGAGAATTATGAACAATTCTTTTACAATCCGGATTCTTATGTTCACCCAGGATTTTCAAAGATGACATTGATGGAAAACCAAGAAAATACTATATCAGCACTGTCAACAGCCTATACTTCAGAGAAACCATTTCAGGATATCAAAATAGCTATATCTAATAATAACTCTAATCTGCTTTTGGGTATAACCTTAGGTTTGGTAATAGTAGTCTTAATTTCAGTAGGTATTTCTCCAATCGAAACATGATTATGAATATGAAATATGGCATAATTACAAGATCTTACAGTTGTATTAATCCACAGTGTTCGTTAGAAGAGCTTGCATTATCTATTGAAAAATATTACAATGGTCTAACTGATATCTTTTCAGAGTTGACAGTCTCAAGAATGAGGGAGATTCAACATCAAATAAGGACAGGAAAATATACTCTTTCCCCATTTAAACTTAAATTCTTTAAGCAAATAGCTCATATAAATGAAAAAAACAACTGTTATTATTATCTTATGCATATGCTGCTAGATGATTCCATTATCTACTACGGTATTTTATCTCCAATTCCCGAAGATAGACTTGTTCTTATGGCGCTTGGCGGAATGTTAAATACTAGAATTATAAAATTGAATCTTCTTAATTCGTCTTCCTTTGGCTTCAAATTAAGACTAAAAGATTATTATGTACATATTTGTTCTTCGATAGAAGTGCCTATCTCAAGGGTTTATAAGTTAGATATGATGAACTCACTTAGAAGAATCAATAAAGAAAATCTTTTGACTAAGCTTGAACCAATAGTATCAAATACTTATATAAATCAATTATTGAAAGAATATCTATATAATAAGATTATTCATGAGGGGGAGGATTATTTCTATATAATGGATGATATTATTCCACCCTTTGGATTTCTAACAGATATACTTCTCAATTTTGCTTTAATAGAATTGGATAATCAATTTCATCA